CGTCAGAAATGAAATCTGTGTTTTGGGGTATGAAAGGGCGTCATTACCTCTGGAGATGCTAGTGAGTGCTAAAATAGAAAATGGTCTTTGGGTTTATGAAATGGGACGATCGCGCTGAATCTCATGTTCACCAACTGCGTAGGGTGAACAAAGTTCAGTCCTTCCCAGCCCAGCACTTCAAAGTACTTCACTTTACGAAACTGGATCTCCATGGGGATTCTTTTATTATTAACTCCAGAGAACAATAGAAATGAGCTCATATCACTGAAACATTTGTAGTATTGTATTTATCATACATCTATACACAGCTTAAATATAGGCCTATGTTATACTTTATGTTTGTATATAATTGTATAGTGGTATGAGCATGTGTATGTGTGCGTTCAGCAGTATACTTCAATAATGCCTTTAAACTTTATGTAAATAATACATTTCTGTAGCACAGACGCATACATCTGAGTATTGTTTAATGTCGTACCACTTTTAGGTCCATATATTACCAAAGCAGCCCAAACAAAACTGAATTTAATTTTGTACTATTCAATTATTCTGTGCACACTTGATTTGGTTGAAGCTTTTGGCATAAACCCAGGCATTTCCTTCATCGGTAACACTGTAATCTGAACATCTGAAATCTTAGGCTTACATTTGTGGAAGAACTCTGCTGAGAACGTATTGTATTCGTATGTCGCTGTTAGGAGCGGGCTTAGGGATGCTGCAGCACCTTGGAAATGCAGCTCTGAAAGTCTGCTTAGTTGTAGCGTTTTCTTATCGTAAATGGTGATCTTTGCTTCCACAGTCCATCATCAGACAATCAGGATTCTTCTTAGTGACATATATTTATGTCTTCTGGAGTATCTTTTAGTTTTCTGCTATTTGTATTCACTAAAGATAGAGGTGTTTGGTGGTTTTGTGCTCAGCTATGTACAAAAAGCATAGGAAACCTATTCATTGTTTTCAAAGTGAACGATAATAACTGATTCTGACCTGTAAAATGCAATGGGACAATTTTGGATGGCTTTACTCTTTCTCTCCAGGCAGGTGCAGAGTAATACCTCAAAAGAACCATTATTTTGTGCCTTTATTCCAATGTGTACATAAATGCTTGCATAACCCTTGCACAGCTGCTGTACAAACTACTCATGCCACAAGTATTAGTAATCCTGACAGGGGAGGTTGCATGGAAAATTGGGGTGTGTATGCTAAACCATATGTACCGTGCCCCTGAATCATAAAACTTTCTGTTGCTGGAGCAGAGAGATCTTTGGAGACCGTGGGTTTTACAGGTCTGGAGGAAGGAGGATTACATGTAACAGCTGCACCCCACAGTTTCTCTCCTGTTGAGGCTTATCTCGTGCATTTAAATAAGCAGGAAACAGAATTTGGTCCGACATTATCTTAATATGGTCTCAGCTTCTACCTTTATTTATATTTCATTTCCATAGGAACAATTATTTGAACAGTTTATTTTGAAGAGCCGCTCAAATTGGAAGCTCTGAGCTGCCAATTTTGAGCTGCATGGGGCTGCAGAGATACAATGCGCATTTTTTGTCTCTGGTTCTGCCTCAGAAATAACTTTCTTTATATCTGTGATGATTTACAGCAGTGCTTCTGAACTGGTCTGAAACAAGATGGAAGTTGGAGATGCATTCGATTCTCTAAAGCCCTGGCCACAAAAATCCCTTCCCGAGTTGCGCAGAGTAGCAGGGTTTGGCCCCAGCTCTCCATGGCTTGAGGAACGTTCCAGCTCCTGGTCCGACCGAGGGAGGAGGTTTGCCACATTACAAGTGGCTGCATGAAGCAATCTCCCAGAGCTTTAGCAGCAGAAAATCCTTAATCAGAAGTTTATGCTGAGGGATTTTAAAATAATAAGGAGGGACTGTTTCCTCTGCTGGTGTAAACTGGCAGAGCACCCTGCGAGTAGACGGAGGTATACTTATTTACACCAGCCGGGGATCTAACCTGGGGCTCTCCCGTGACTATATGGAGTGGTTGGTATTACTGCTGCTCTTTTGGGGGAGGATACTTGGGTTGTAAGTGCAGCACTGTAAGAGTTTATCTCTCTGAGACTGGGACTTCTAAGTTTTCAGTCGGGAAATTTTTGCTTCCTAAATAGTGCTTAGCGTGCACCGACTTTGCTTTGTGAAGTGCATCTTTTCAGCATTCATCCAAAGCCTTTTCTGCAGTTGTCTGAGCCCTATAGGCAAATATATACTGTTAGACTATTAAGATAATTTTTCAGTTAAGATATCGTCAAACTGCAAGCGGGACAATAGAAACAAACCCCCTTTTGTTCTGGCTAAACTGTTCCTAATGACCCCCTCTATAAACAGTGGCACCAGCGGAGGGCTCAACAAGGCTCTTCATTGAGACCCCTTTCAAAAGGACAAGCAGAGCAGAACATGGGGCAGAAACTCTCCCAGTTACTGCACTTTGCTCCGCTTTGGTGGTCTGACCACAAGAGAGAATCTGTTGTTTTTGTTGTTCAAGGCACCCAAAAAAGAATAATTTAAAAGCATGAATTTCCACAATTAGCATCCTATAAAGAGTTCTAAATATTTGGATTGTCAGGAAAAGAGCAGAAGGAAGCAGTTTTGTTTGTTTGTTTACTTAAATCAAGGGGCTATAAAATAGATTCTTATGAGTTCCATAGAAAAGCTTAATTTTTTTTTTTTTTGAGATCAGTTATCTATTAAACTCATATTAAAATAAAAATGTAAAGTCCAGAGGAGTTAACATTTTTACATTCCAGTAAGATCGTTTGCTTTGGGGGTAAAAATCATCTTTGTGACTAGCGTGTGTTCATCGTGAGCAGGGGAAAGCTCTGAGCAGGGGAAAGGCTTCAGCTGTTTAGTTTCTAGAGAACTTAAAGATACGATGACAAACTGAAACCACTAAGGACCAAACTCCTCTTCTTCCAGGTGGATAACTGTAGGATAACTGTAGGACACTCTGTACAGGTACGGGTAGCGTAGGCAGTGTGTCTTCACGCAGTTGAGGGCTATGGAGATTGTGAATCACTTTGGTTATTTCTGTGCCTATTTCTGTGTCCTGAATCCATCAGAGGAATAGCACAGAAGACCTTCCCTTTAAACAAAAACCTATTTACAGAGCATCTTCGTTGTATGTAATTGGGAAGCGATGGCAGGTCAGGCAGCAAAAGTCCATAATTTGGATGATTTCGGAATTACCCTGATTACATTTGCAAATAGAAATGCCAGTTTCTTCTGAAAGAAGCTGGAGTTTGCGTCCTGGCATCTGATTTAGTAGGGGTATTTCTAACTTACAGCATGGGCTACTGCTTCATTTGGAAACAGATAGGAAGAGATCATGGAAGGAGAAGAGAGAAGAACATCCATTAAGACAGGAACCACATATTCTGAGTAAAGGCTAAATCGCAGAGAAAAGTAACTCCTACCAGATTCAGAACACCTTCAAGTCCCCCCGATATGATGGGGTCTGAGGGCACTCTGCCATTCGTGGGACGGGCTCAGCAGTTCGCAGCTTTGGTTCTGTCGTTTGGTTATGGACGGTGTCTACGCTCCTTCGTAGGAGAGTGGGATGGGAGGTTTCAGTGTGTCTTGGAAAAAAGAAGGACTTGGGTAAGTGCGGGATGAAGGTCTAGTGCCCTGTGCCAGGATACTGAGAGAAAGAGAAATGTCAAAGAAATCTTTAAGAGATTTCCAGTAGAAACAAAAGAATCTTTGTGAAAGATACTGTTAGCAAGTCTAATGGAGGGAATGGGGACGTCAAAGGAATTGAGAGGATTTGCAAATTGTTTCTAAGCCTTCAGGCAAGAACAAAAAGCTGAGCATTTACTGTTTACTATATTTGGTATGTATGGAAGAGCAGTTTGGACATCGAGGGAGCTAATAAAATGCAGAGCCTGATTCATCCCTCTACTGTGAGCTGTGCTGTTGTGCTAGGGATGGAGGAAACGCTTCTGTTAAAGGACGGTTCCGAGGACGAGCAGCTGAGGCTTGACCTGGCCTTTTGTGAAAATGACAGTTTTTCGTGGCGGCATCGCCAGGGTCCATAAGCACGCATCAATGTTTTCCATGAATGCAATTTATTTTTCTTGTTTGTATGCATGTCATCATTGCACAGAGTGCTGTAGATCCAGTTTTATGGATTAAATATGGTAACTGTGTAATGTGATAGCATGGAGGTACTGTATTAATTTTGTCAGATCTTTCCTCAAAAATCCACATTTGAGGATTTACTGCACATTTCTGAAAAAAGAAATTTCTGTGTCTGACTAGAATTTGTTGCCTCAGAGACGTTCTGGTTAAGCCCAGCTGGGTAGGTTGAAAAAAACACCTTGTCTTCTGAATCTATCTACAGAAATTTATGGGAATTAATTTATCAGAACAAATGAAGAGATGGATTTCTAACTGTCTTTAATGTCATGTAAACCAATTTTATTTAATGTTTGAACTAGAAACTCTCATGCGTAGGGGTCATATTAGGGATGCAGTAACTGTTAATCATGAAGAGCAACGGTGTCAAAGAGGATCATTTTTTCTAGTTGTTGTACAATTATGTTAGGATAAAGATGAGGAAAAAGTAACAACAGGAACTTTATATAAACTTTGACTGATGCAAAATTGCTTTCTCTTGAAAGTGACAGATCTGGTTCTACATGTATCTCCTGAGCCAAAATATTTGTCTTACTGTCTTTCAAACAATCTGTGATTCTCTTAGATTTTAATAATGTTAGTAGTTAGTTATCCCAGCACAGATAGAAGCTTTTTGCAAACTTTCAACCTATGCTAACAACAGTAGGACACAGGCATATTGGTATAAAGGAGCGATCTTTAAAATTTTCTGATTTGCAGACTTTGGCACCAGCCAATTCTTTATGTCACGTCCAAGCAATCTGTCTTATTTACCTTTTTGGATCCCTGTAAACTTATGGGCCCCAAACACTTGCGAAGCACGCTTTAAAAATCGGTGATATAGGACAATACAGAATGCACAAATCAAATCAATTTTCCCTACGCGAGAGCTAAATGTCTCTCACTCTTCTGAAGGCCAGCAACTTGGATGAAGTTGTAAGAGAAACAATGAATTGAAGAGTTAAGGGCGGTGCACTGAGAATTAGAGTTGTCCAGAAACAAAAAAAAATTCTAGTATATAAAAAAAATTAACGGTTTTGACATTTGTTTTAGATTTGTCACAGAGTGATTTAAAAAACAAAACATGAATAGAAAGAATGAGACATCCCAGAATAGCCAACATCCAGTGGCTAGGGTATTTACTTGGGCCGTGTCCAAGTAGTGCTTTATGGGATTTGGAGCAGACGTTTGACATAATGTTTTCAACATTATTTTTGTCCGACTCAAACTGGGGCTCTGAAGCGGGTTGAAGAAGAGTTGAGCCACTGGGGCTCTGAAGCGGGTTGAAGCTTGCTTGGAGTCCTCTGCTTCACAGGTGAGACTTGGTCACCAGGCTGCTTCATCACTCCATCTCTCTTTGGCCTAGGGCATTTTATTTTAATTTTTTTAAACAAAGAAGCTGTATAGAGAATAGACAGACACTTGTTCTGTTGCATCTGGTAGGGTGCTGTCATAGATTTGGGTATTTTTTTTCTCTTTGGGAGTGAATAAAGTAACATCCACATTTCTACTATTTTCATTCAGAACAGATTCTTCTCACAGAAATATCCAAACCTACTTAACTATATTTCCATGGAAATCAATATATTACTTTTAAAAATTTTATTTTTGTCAAGCTGGTGTTTTCTGATGGCAAAAAACACTTTGTCCAAAAATTCCCAACCAGCTTCTCTGAGCTGAGACCTACCACTCTGTTGTACAAACGTGAGGCATTTACCTTCGGTATTTTTGTAGGCTTAGGAAGAGATCACAAATGGCGTGTGGTCTGGGATGATAAAATCTGTATGTATAAATTTATGGGAACTTTGTAAGGAATATATAGAGTAAAGTTAAAATTAAGTTAAATTCTGTATGTAGTGAAAAATATAAGAAAATGTATTGAGTTGAAATTTTAACTCTTCTCCTTTGCTTTGCAAACATGGGTCGCTCAATCTAATCCTTTCATCCTTGTTCCCAAGTCCACCCTGAATCTCATCCAGCTCCAGTGGACACACGTGTTCTGCTTCTCTTTCTGGTTTAGCCTGTGCTCCTCCCTTCCTCCCACTGTTTTGTATCCCTGCCTCCCTGCTGTCTGTCCTACACCCAGGACACAAATGCCTTCCCCCGCTGCGCACCCTTGGGCGCTATTGACTAAGAGCTGAGACTTGCAAGTGTCCCAGGGCAATCTAGAGGCGTATGGAGAGGTGAGAGCGTGCCTTTTAACAGCACACTCTCTCCATGCCTCAGCGCTCCCAATTCATTAATTAGCACAGTTAATTTTAAAGACGTTTACCATTTCTGCAAATGGTTATTGGAAAACTGATTACTGGGTTAATGGCCCGACTTGAAAACAGTTGTCCCATTACTGTAGATGAAGTCCATCCAGTTCAGCATGTCTAGTTACAGGTGATGTATGCAGTCAGTGCCTTGTTTCCCTGGAAGAACGAAATGGAAATATGTTTTGCATCAGATATTAAGCGTGGCTTGCACAATTCCCCAAGCAGTTAAATGATATTGAACAATGACGGGGGTAGCTCTGTTTGATGTCACATGTGCTTCAGCTCCATTCCCTTGTATGATTCAGTATCTGTAATGTTTCACTTTTAACATTCATTTCTGAACAATTGAAGCATCTAGAAGTGAAAATGAATGCCATGCAGAGACAGCAAAGCTATCTAAGTCATCTCCAGCCCGGGATTTGGTATAGCTGTGCTAATTCACCTACTGAGAAATAAAATAGGGTAATTGCCTACTGAGAAGCAGAATTTATTAACTCTGCTGCAAGTTTCTTGCTCTACTCCTAGAACCTGGTCTAGCTTGTTTTGAGCTAACGCAGGTAGTCTGAACAGGTGCTGGACACACTTCCTGCAATTTAGGAAGCGCTGGGTGATGCTCTACTTTAGATGGAATATATAAACAAGATTCTACTGACTTCTGGTCAGTGGAGATCCTATCACACCTCTTAGTCTGGTTCCCGAGGGAAACTACTTACACAATCTTATTATTTGTCTGACCCAGTTTCCAATATGCTAACACGTTTGTCGCAGGCTACCTAGATGTTTCGGAGATACTATGTCCTTACCAGTTTTGCAAGAATTAGCACCTAAGTAGGGGAAGGAATCCTTATTAATGCTCCCATTGAGGAAGAAAGGAGAATTCGGCAATTATTCATTGTGTTTGACAACAGCAAGCCATTCGACTGATTTGCACGTCGCTGTGGTAGTTCTTGGCGAAAGCACTGTTTTATTCAGCTGCCAAATTAAAAAAAAAAAAAAAAGAAAGTCAGGGGCTGGCTAGGGGAAAGATGCCAAGGCATGCTAGGGTACTCCCCAGAGAATAAGAGAGAGAGACCACATGTTTTTGGTGGGGGCTGGAGGCATTGCAGCGCGACATGGCAGAGGATAGGAGGACAGCCGGGGTTATTCCAATAGGGAAGTGTAAGAGGTGTAACATAAATCCATAAGGAATCAAGCTTCATTAGTTCCACTTTTCAGGGAATAATTTGCTAGGAAAATATTCGGGTCTTAATTTTGGTATTTTGGATACATTTAGATACTGATTTAGCCCTTCTACAATTCTGTGTATCAGTTGTAGCTGGTATACCTCCTTGCTGTTACACAGCAGCAATCTGCTGTTATTTGACCTGAAAAGATCATTATACTAGCTTTATTTGATGTGCATTTAATAAAGTTGTAGCTGTTGTGACTATAACTCATGACTCCCATGTCATTCTGCAGTGGTGTAACCAGCGATTCGACATTCCAGGACCATCAGTTCAAAGGGAAGTACGAGGGACTCAAATGTGTGCCAGAACATTGTGACTTTTATTACTCCTCCTCTGTTAGGAAGACGCATTCTCTAGATGGAGAACTGAGAAGAACAAAGCATCCCTAGACCTTGTAGTGCAAAATGTAAAAAGTGATGTTATCTGCAGAAAGTGGACTTTAGATTCTATCAGGGCACATTTAGCATAAAGCATTTCCTATGGTAATGCCTCTCACTTTCCCAGACTTTTACAGGCTCCAAGTGGCACACAGGCTGCAGACCTCTTTGTAATGTTAATGAATCATCTTAACGGACTGTTTTAGCAGAAACATTCATCACCTTTTGTACCACAATGATTTTTTTTGTTATACTTAAATGGTTAAGTAGGCAATAAATGCCTATCAGACCAACCACTATGGTCTAGTAATCCACCTCACTATAAATCACCAGTGGATTATTATTGTCCTGTTTAATTAACACTCTTAAGGGATTCTATCGTTGGATAGACTTTCACCTTGCACTAAGCAGGCATTAACATTTCAAATAAGAAAAAGTGTGTTTATGTGAAAAGTGTTAATCAGTATGACCTGGAACTGGTAGTGGTGGGTCGATGAAATATGTGCGGGTGTATATGCTTGTGCGTCCGTGGGTGGTTCCTTATGTCGGTTTTCAAGGGAAGCTAAAATCAGACCCATGGAATACTGATTTCAGTCATAGCGAATGATAGTTTCAGTATCATTTGTGTAAGGCCTTAAAGCTATTTGGCTATATTTGGTTGTAAATAGCAGCTTTAAAGATTTTAATTCCAGAAGTTAGGAAGGCGTTGGTTTTTGTGAGCCTACATTTTGTGTGTAATACGGGTTTCTTTGTGGTCTAATTCAGCCTGAAGTGTTTTTAGGGGACTTGACAAACCCTTTTCTTTTTCTGCAACAAAAGGTGAGAGGGGAAGTCTGATCCCGTTGCTCCTCTGTGAACCCTTTTCAGACTTCACAGCCAGAAGGAGTAAGCTAAGCAGCAAGAGCTCCTGGGAAAGGCGGGGGGCCGTAGGCTTAGATGCTCTTTGCAGAACAATCCCTGCGGTTCTTTTGCAAACGAAATTCCTACCCCGGGACACGAGCTTGATTCAGGATTGCTCTCAATATACACATTTCTGTCCATAGTACTGCTCAATGCTGGTTTTCTCCTCGCGGCAGAATATAAAGATGGCAGCTTTTTTCCCTCCTGTAATACAATTTAATGCATTTACTAGTCATTTCCTCATCTTTTGTCAGGAGAGAAAGACATTTGAAAAAGGCTCTTGTTAAGGCAATGTTTCCCATCCATGAAATCTTATCCTGCTTTCTTTGATTTTGTTTCATTGGTAATACTAGCAGTGCACTTACCAGCTGCACGTTCTATGGATACCAACGCTCGCAGCAGTTCTGTGAGATAACCAAGTACTCAGTTTCCATTTTACTGACAGAGTGACCAACATGGAAGTGTTCAGAAATTTCCTGAGGTTTTTAAGAGTCACAACTAGTAGCGTAGCTCAAGAGACCCTGATTCTTATCTGCACACAAACCTGGTATGCACGTCCCTTTCCTCTCGGCATTTTTTGTTAAATTATTTCCTAGTATGGACTCCTGCAAATTTAAGAACAAATAAAACTGCTAAGTGCAATGCAAACACAATAAATCTTTCCAATTAAGAGAATGAATCTCTCTGTATAAATTAATTTCCTGAAACAAAACTCCAGTCATGTAAGATTAATTCTTTCCTCCAGGATTGCATGAATTTATTGACTAACAAAATCTTCTGTTGCATAAATTGCAATGTGCTATTTAATGTAGTCTGCTGATCAGTGGGAAAACCATAGCATTAGTATTTTCACTGGGTATTTTTGTTTCAGTAGCATGCTAATCTGCCAGTTTTTCTTCTATTTGTAACTGAAAAGGTGTGAAATAGTTCCCTACTGAACATGTGGGAAATAGCACAAAACGCTAAAGGAGTTTGAACAAGATGAGAGATTAACCCAAGCTCATCAAGAGTAAGTTATTGCATGAAGAACTGCAGAGACAGAAAATGAGAATCTCTCGTGTGCAGGACAGTATTGTGAGGAGGTGTGAGTGCATTGATCATACAATAGTTTTTTCAAATCATTTAACAGAGATGCACAAACCCCACACAGTTTCAAGTGTGGGCATGTCCTGAGAAGAATCTCCTTCGTTCCCTCTAGACACACCCTGCTAATTAAATCCATCACTGTCTAGCAGTAAGCCCCAGGGTTCAATCTTTTCTAGAGCACTGTTACTATCCAACATTTTAGCTCATACAGTGGGCAGCCAAGATTTCATGTCTATGCATATAGTAGGACTCCTAGCCAATATTTCCTACATTCTCCTCCTCTCCATCCCAATCTGGATATATAATGGTGTGGGGTTTTGTTGGTTTGGTGGGTTTTTTTGTTTGTTTGCTTTGTTTCTTAAGAGCTAAAACTTCAACATTCCTTTCAGATTACTTTCTTATATCCTAATGCAATAACCTGTATGAGGGTGGCAAGTTAAAGTCTAATAAAGTCAGGAATCTGTGCTCCATGTAGCTAGCTGGCCATGAGAAACTGCAGCAAGGATGGATATTGAATGACGTCTATAGTCCAGCCAGGTTTTATCAGAACAGGTCATCAACCTGTAGGCTGCCCAAACCTGTTCCACTGCTTCCCCATTGATTAAATATCTGGAGGCATTTACACGTATATCAAATTCTCCATAATCTATTTTATCTTAATCACACCCCAGTTCTTTTTCAAGCTAGGGCAAAAAAGTTCCCTCCAGTGGTGAGAAAAGATGGTATATCTCCTTAATGTACTTCTGTACATTGCATTTCCTTGGAGCCAAACTATGATCTCAGATTCCCATGGGCTGAAATATCAGTGGGACTGCAGGGAGTAGAAGGGAGGTAAAACCTGCCTATGTACGCCCGAATGTTGAGGAATTTAAAACCTGGTTTTTTTCATTTGATTGCAGAGCTGACATGTATGGGGGAAGGAAGGAATAGAGGGAGTGTGTAGCTTCCAGCCAAGTTCAAATGGCCAAAATTCCTTCTCAATCTCGATTCCTGTGCCATCCACAACATGAGAGAGTGTCTGGCCTAGAACTGTCACCTGTTCCTGTTTAGGGATTTCCACTCTCCTTCCTGAGTGTTTGTTCCCAGCCTATTTTCCTGCTCTTTCTCTCTGCCCCAGGTATCATCCTGCAAACATCCTGAGCACTGTGTTCCCTTCTGCTTGGTTCAGGCTCGTAAGTGGTTCTGTCTTTGCTTTTTCCCATTTTCCTCTGCACCTCTTTTTTTCTTATTATTATTTTTTTCCCTAGTTGGTGACAATAGCAGTCAGGAGAAGCAGTGTGGGGATATGTTAAAAACAACAACAACAAAAAAAAAATCCAAAAACTCAATTGAGTGGCACGGGAAAGGTGGACACAGGCTGAACGTTCACTGTCTTGTTTAACACAGCAAGGGGCATCATAACTAACTAACAGGTTCAGGGAGATGAGTGAACAGTTAATCTGTGGAACTCCCCGTCACAGGACATTTTGTATGTTAAAAATGTGTGTGTGCAAATCCATAGAAGAAAAATTCGATGAATACAAAGAAAGCACCTCTGGTTCCAGAAGTCCTGGAGTCATAAACAGAAGACGACTGGGAGAGCGTGCTGGGAAAGCATCACTAGAGGCTTTTCTTATACTCTTCTCGTGATGTGCAGTATTGCTGCTATCAGAAGTGGAATATTAGGCTAGGTGGATTTTGGATTAACAAGGAAAATGTGTCTTATGCTTTTTATTAAGAATTGAAGGCAAGAATAGTTGTCAAACAGGACTACAAAGTGTTGTGGTGTTTGCTCTCCTCCTACTTTTCCATCTCTTAGACCAATCCAGAGAAGCATGGTAGATGTTTCTATTTTGTTGCCAGCTGCACTAAAAAGTTCATACAAAAGCTTCTCTCATCACAAAAATTTATGTGGCAATTCATGAGTCCTTTCAGCAGTATGTTGAAGCACAGAGGCATTATTAAATCAGATTCAAACTGATGAATTCAATATAGTGGGGGTGAACTCTCAGGGATGACTATTAAAAAAAAAACACAACGTTGCAAACACTAGTTGATCTGATAAAGCATGAGGCAATATTTATATCACTCCAGTCATTATCTTTACTATTGCACATTTTCTGTAGAGACAGCAATCAAATGGTCAGAACGCCTTGGTTTGCCTGTAGGCGAGTCCATGTCTCAGGTTTTAATGTTGTAGAGATAATTATGTCACCCACGTTGTAAACATTTTGTGTTTCTTGAATAGAGAGTCTGTACTGAAAATATTAACCTCTGGCCTGTGGAAACTGAAAAGATGCAAAGGAGAGGAAACCAATTTTCTCACTGGGTACTGAAAAGCTGAATGGTTGGAACTGAGTTTGGGAAGCACTAAAATTAGTATAAGCTGTTGCAAAAGTGCTAGTAGATTTAAAATCCTAAGGGAAAGGTGAAAACTTGTTGGTGTCACAAAGTGCCTTAAATAGAATATCTGCAGTTTAAATGATCAAAATTAGCCCCTTTACTCTAGCACATATGTTCCAATGTGGTGTTCTGAACAGATGATTAGATAAATATCACAGCTGATGTAATAAATACCTGGAAGTGCCTGTAATAAATACAAGAAATAACCTGTCTTGATTATTCAAGGAACTGCTGCTAGTTAATTAGCATGCTCACATTGTTTGGGCCAATGGATTTTTGCAGTTTCCTTTTTTAATAGTTTTTCTTTTCTTTCCAACTTTTTCTTTACCCCGTTGAACGAAGTGATGCAATGGTGCCCAAACAATTCAATGAAGTCATTACTAAAAGCTAATTTTTGATTCAAGGAGATGATAGTCACTATTACATTGCAATTTAAGCACTTCTGGTTTTCACTTGTACAAAAATAACTCATTCCTCACCAAAAAAATGGCATTCTGTCAACTGCTAATTACATACAAAGAATTTTAAACAAAAATGTATCATACAGGTAATACACGTAACAGGTATGGAACATACATGTGTGATAAAATATGTGTAATATTGTAATATGTGTAAAATTGAATGTAGCAGATATCTGAAAGAGTAAGAAACCAGAGGATGGCAATTTTTTATTTTATATTAGATTTTTCAATTGTAGTCATACTGGGGTGTTGTTTTTCTAGTCATTGAGGGGTTTTTTTTGTTTTTGTTTTTCAAAGAATGCCTGAAAAATGAGTAACAGTTTTTCCTAATTTTCAGCAGAACCTCCCACGCTGTAATTTATGGCCATGGCTCCTTGTTCGGTCACACGACACTACCTACCGAGCAGAACTTGGCTATGGTCTCTGTAAGTACCGTTCTGGCAGAGATCAGCCCTTGGCCTCTTTGTCGCCAGGAGAAGCAAGCCCAGCACCTTCAGACTCTCCATTTAGGCCATGTGCTCTTGGCCCTGAGCATCTCAGCGACCCTCTACTGAACCTCCTTCAGGTTCTCCACACCGCTCTTGGATCGGGTGAGTCAAAACCGGGCGCAGTATAACCAGCCCCCTCTATTGGAATATGCCCGACTTCACGATGGAGTTCCCTGCGTTGCTCCACCACTGACCGCCCTTTGCCATGCCAAACTGTGCTGGTACCCACATGGTCTGGGAGCACGTGGTGCCTGTGCAAATCAGGGCAAGGAAGAGTTTAAGAACTTCAGCCTTTCCCTCGTTGGCATCTTTAGGTCATCTTCCCCACCTATTAGCAAAGCCATGTTTTTCTCTTAGACTTGGTTTTAGAGAAGTTGACTTCTGTGCAGGATACTCCAGTGACAGAAACTCCATCTCTGTGTTACCACATGGATAGGGGCACGACTAGAAAAAAGGAGAGTATGACAGGTTTTCCCGCGAATAACTTCTGCATCTGGGCTCTGGGGACTGGAAATAGCTAGTGTAAATCAGTGCAACCACGCTATTACTAATCTTGCCAGTAATGATGTGAGAATGAATGGAGTTCAAAGATGAACGTTACATATCGTTAGCACCAATCTGCCTCACTGCATTTATAGGCAAGGCTCTTACCTCAGAAGTCAGTTGGCAAAACTTACAGTTTTTTCTTTTTAAAATTACGATAAAAATAAGCATTTGTGCTGCACAGAAATGTTCCTCAAATATAAGTCCATTTTGGGTTTTTACAGTTGTGAAAACTTGAAAACAGTTATTGATAATAATTTCTCAAACACTGAGCAGGAAGTATTCTTATTACAGTGTTTTAGCACGACTGACCTCAGTTTATCATTTAATATAGCTATTATGAGTGTGTCATCCAAAACTCTGAAACATATCATTTCAAAGTAGAAGTTTACTTTCAGTTTAACTCTCCATCAGAAGACTGAATGATCTGTAACACAGAAAAAAATCAGGACTCTGTTATTGTTACCCCATAACAGTAGAAAATTAGTATGAATGAGGATGATGACTACATAGGTTTCAAGAACTTATCTTGTAAAACAGGCACTATTTAATTTATGAAATGACAAGTTTTCCAGTAGGATTAGAAATCAGTTTGATTCTGGCTTTTGCATCATGTAAATGATTTTTTTTTTTTAAATTCTACATTATCGTCAGTGACTAAATCCATCTGATATGAGTGCAGTGATCTCTTTGGTTTGCGTTGTGTTGTTTTTCTTTCCGCACAAGGAGAATAAGTACAGTATGGCTGCAAAGTAAGTTCCCGAGGATGCACACTACTGAAATCAGAAGGTGGGCACAGAGTGTCATGAAAACCTTTCATCCAGTCACCTTTCAGACCTCCAGTCTCTGAGGTTGAAGACTCTGCCCTAGTTTTTCAAAACACATTCCAGTAGAAAAAAAATTATAATCTTTTCTTCCATAATTCCACCTGTTTGCTTAACTGAATTCTCCTATTTTGGCCTTTCTTTGTTCTGTTTCTTCCAATTCTAGTCTGAGAGATGTCTAGTTTGGCTTTCCAACTTCTATTTATCATTTGCTTCCTACTAGTCACTCTTTTGGTTCTCTCCAGTGTAGCAGTGACATGGAAGAGTTTAGGTAATAATCTTGCAATGGATTGCTGCACCAGAATGAAACCTCGTTTCTTTTTTCCCAGGCCTCCCTGGGATTCCTTTTGCCACAGCCTTTTTCTCCCCAGGGAGATGGTACAAAATTGTTTTGTGGCTGTTCATTCTGTCAGTACGAGTGGACAATCTGATTCCCATCAGTTCCCGTGGGTCGAGCCATGATTCCCAGAAAACACACCGTCTGCACAGCACTTCTCAGAACCGTTAGAATTACTTCCAAATGCCGGGCCAGAAGTGCCTATATTTCAGTTGTGTGTCACTAATCCCAATACATGCTCAAATCTGTAGAGATTTGGATCCTGCCAGACAACGGATGTGGTGTAATTGTCTTCCTCCTATTAATTAGTCAAATGATAATTTTATTGCTAATGTGTTTGTGTGAATCTCAGTATTTATTTTTCTGTGGCAACTTTTTTTTACCTTTGTTTCCAAAAATGGCTTTATATAAAGTTTTGCCTTTCTCAGTCAGAATATATGAATATATATGAATATTTATTTTAGATTGTAAATCTTTATAATCAAGAGTCCTTGAGAAACTATAGAAAGTAAAAAATATTTCAAAAGCGTCCAAGAAGCAACATTTTGTTTTTCTTACTACTCTCCTTACATGTCACGATATAATTTGTTTGGCAGATTCAATTTTCTGGAAGTAAATTTCCACAAATGTAGTGTCTATAGCATAAACATGTTCTAAGAAATTAACTAATCTTAACGGAATAATTTTTTAAATTATTTTAAGTCAAAATGAGGGGGTTTTATGTCTTGGCCATCATAATATGGCTGAAATATCTAGAAAATCAATTTACTTAAAACTTAAAGGAACAGTTCTGTCCTGCTTGAATCTTTAGGAGAGAAGAGCCGATACAGTCTAATAGCAGCTGTTCAGCAACACCTATTATTTGCTTACATTACATCACTAATATGAGGCACCCTGTCGTTAAAATGAGAGTTAGGAATTGGCTCTCCTGATTTGCTTCTTAGCATTCTGTAATTTTGCTGAGGATATGATCTCATCCAGCTCTCCACACCAAATAAGAATCTGGATTGGTGGATGAGCATGTTCATTTTCCTTCTGATGAAGTATCAAGCTTTAATAAAAGAAAGCCTTCAGCTTAATTTATAGAGAAAGCTTTAAATATTGTTTTCTTAGAACTAATGGGTGGATGATAGTATCTTCAGCAATGCCATTTCTACACCAGTTATTTTTTATTCTCCTTGACATATTAGGGCCTGAATCTTGCATTCCTGGCACTCAAAACTCCTCGTGAGTGGATCCAAACATGGAAGCATTCCAGCTCAATGCATGAGAGACCCTTTAACATTACAGAGTAGAGAACATGCCGAAAAATATTGAAATAATAAATTAACACTACATCAGAATTTTGGAAAGGAGCTCTCTCTGTGGTAACAAGTGGTGGAGCCACCTGTCACCCACCTGTGCCTAAGGCACTAACAGGAATTCTTAACCCAGACAAGGTTCTGCTGGCAGCAAGTGGCTATTTAGTGTTTATTTACCGTTTATTAAAATTAATGTGCTAATACCAAAAAAGCTTGGCTTTTGCAGACGCGTGGAACTTGTGTATTTCTTTCTAACAACGTGCATGATGTTATCGGAAGGCTGATGACTGAGATATGAGATCCATCAATCAGAGACTACAGCAAGTAATTTTGTTAATATTTTTGCACTGACTTAATTAGATATGAGGTTTTTTAAATGATTTAGTTAAGCTGATGCAACATCCTGTAATGGACATAGCCTTGCAGATGTAGAGATGTTCTTAGCATGTAAGTAATCATAGTAAATTATAATAATGTATCTTATATTAGTTAATTAAATAAAGGGTCTTATTCAATTGCATCACAATCTGATTGAAAGTTCCCTTTCTGCTTTACCATTTTGCCACATGTTGCCTATCAGATAAAAAGTATTCTTCTATAAAAAAACCCAAGCTTTTCCTCACTACAGAGATGCATGGACAGCATGCGTTTAGCTGTGTGGGAAAAGCGACCACAATAGTTATTTCTGAATAACCTACCCACAACAGCTCCCTGTGTGGATATTGTAGTCTGGAAAAGTCATGGGTCAGACTAAGTCGTTGCAGAACAGCTTATTCTGCAACAGCAATTCCAGTCAATTTTCCAGTGTAGAAAAGCCCTTAGTCCACAGCTCCAAACTCCTGTTTGTGCCAGAAGATTTTATCTTTAGAGAATAGTATAATTTTTTTCTATTCAATTAAGGCCCAAATTCAGCACTGAACTCCCTTGGGATCAATACATGACAGCAGCCAGGGAGAGCTTTATATTATAGAAGTTCGTATTTATATGCCCAGACTCCATCATTTTATTAACCAAGCATTTAGTTAACACCTTCACGTAGCTGTGAGCTGTATACATTTTTGCCTGTGGGATGACCTTGTGATCCTTCTGGTCCAGTACCTTCTAGAGCCCAGTCCCAAACCAGCAGACAGAAAGCTGCCTGGAAGAAGATCCATGAAGTCGGACTCAAGAGGGCTGGTAGCTTTCATCGCCAAGAGCAGTGAAACACGGCAAAATGTCATACCTTCCTCCATGCCCAAATACAGAAGTTGGTTTACAGCAGTGACATCCAGCTGACACATTTGAACTTGCTCTGGGTACAAAGAGTGGCCTATAAATATACAGAAAGACTTTGAAAAATGTTTGAATGGACTAAAAATGTGTCCTGGGCAGGCAGCACAGAGAAGTCTTCACTGAAGGCCACTTAACAGTCTCACTGCATCCAGAACTACTTGTACAACTCGGTAAGACACGTTTTCGGCTGGATTCGTGTTTATATTTGAATCACATTTTTGTTTCTTCTCCTCCAGTAAAAAACCCGAGGAAACCAAGATAAGACATCTATGCTTTATTGTATTTTATATACTTTTTACTGAGCCTTAGGACCCTCAAAAGCAAAGGTTGCCATTTATCCAAAATTACATCACAGTGCCCCTGGCATTTTTATGGTGTGGACCAATTAACATTAGTGGCTTAATTAAAATGGCCAAATGCATTTTAAAGGATGACATAAAGTTGATTTTAATCTAGGCTTCCAAAAATGAAGTAGAAGTCTGTTAATCAACTACCCCACCCTTTTTGTTATTTATATGGCCCACAGTACTCAGAATAGACTCCGACGTCATCCTCTTACTTCACTTTCCCCAGGCATTATTAAATAGTTAATAACAAAGGTCTAAAGTCCATCCTGAGTTTTACCTGTTGGCATAAATTTGGGGCCATGAGAGCACTGGTATAACATTCATGTAAATGAAAGAACAGATTTTGGCTCAAGTTTTTTTAATGTACAGCAGCTGGCATTTTTGGGTTTAAAGAGCAAAATCACACCTGAGTTTTCATGCTTTCTAGGATTTTGCCAACAAAAGGAAAACAAAAAATAAACAAGACATAGCTTTTGAAAGCCAGAAGAAATGGTGCAGCTGTTTCCAAGACCACTATGTTCAAGTTGTCACATGAACATGGAATAGAAGACATTCTTGCTTTCCAGTTATGTTTTAGCGCAAATGTCTTCCATTTGTTTGTTTCAACATATTTTCCCTTTAACACGTTTTTTTAATCAGAATTTTTCCTAATAACATGTTTATTCAATGTTCAGTTAAAACCAGATTTGGATTTTTACGATTATATAGATGTTTACAAATCAATTCATTAGGTGTTATTACCACTTCTATGGTATGACATGTAAGTTCTCATGACCTGAGAACTTGCCACTGTTGACAAGTGGGTTTGGTCAGATTTTTACCATACAGACAATACGAGCAGCTGATTTCTGGGAGCTGCCAGAGAGAGTGGAGGGAATTGGCTGTACCTAACCCATAGTCCCTTAGCCTAATTATTTATTTAGCTGCTATTGGAGCACTTCAGCCCAGATTTTAATTTGATTCCCATTCCTCGTGATGAAAAATGGGGTAATAGGTGAATGATAGGTGTTTATCTCTCTCAGAAATAGACGGGCATTAGGTGCAGAGAGTGGCACCGTGTTATTTGCCTGATCCCTTTTATTATTCAGCTGTCATGGGATTTTGATATAGAAGACAGCAGAGAAAGATTTTAATATTTTTTGCATAATATAGACAATTATATTTATTATTTGTATGTGAGAGACCCATAGCTTCTTCAAAAGAAAGACAATCTTTTTGTTTTATTTTCAGCAGTCACTTACACTCAGCACAGGAAAGACATGGAGCTGTTGGAGTGAGTCCAGAGGAGGCCACGAAGATGCTCAGAGGGCTGGAGCACCTCTGCTATGGAGACGGGCTGAGAGCGTTGGGGTTGTTCAGCTTGGAGAAGAGAAGGCTGCGGGGAGACCTTAGAGCCCCTTCTGGTACCCAAAGGGGCTCCAGGAAAGCTGGAGAGGGACTGGTGACAAGGGCAGGGAGTGACAGGACAAGGGGAATGGCCTGAAGCTGAAGGAGGGGAGATTGAGATAAGATCTGAGACAGAAATCCTTCCCTGTGAGGGTGCTGAGGCCCTGTGCGCAGAGAAGCGGTGGCTGCCCCTGGCTCCCTGGCAGTGTGCAAGGCCAGGTTGGATGGGGCTTTGGGCAACCTGGGCTAGTGGAGGGTGTCCATGGCAGTGGGGTGGAACTGGATGGGCTTTAAAGGTCCCTTCCAACCCCAACCAGTCTATGATTCAGTGATACATGGAGGCTTGGATGTTTCAAAATACTTTCTCTACGTTGCTCTACAACATGCTCTTCAAAAGAATAACAGAAGTAGAGGAATGCCCAACTTCCCATGTAAAACCCCATCCTCACTTTCACCTAACTTTTCCAAGCCTTAGACCTGCTACAAACGATTTTTTTTCTTTTTTTTTTTTTTTTTTTCAGGGAGGGTATATGCTTACAGCCACAGTTCCTGTTATAAAACTGCGGCAAGAAGTAGATAAAGTCTCTGCAACTTCAGAGGGAGGCTCAGGTTGAAGGAGTGACCTGTCTTAGTGCAAGACCAGTTTAGGAATGAGAAGTGATAGTACTGGGCAAGCACGTAAAAATTATGTCTTTGAATGTTCAGTCACATAATGCTGCCTGTTTGCAGCTTAATTATTGTCAATGAACCAGAGTGCACATGGCATTTCTGCTAAACTGGGGAAATATATTCTTTTATTTAATTTACTTTGTGTTTCTTTGTCTCAAATACCTGCCTTGCCCTGCCACCCAAAATACATTACTGTCTGTAAAAGGATTAGAAAATGTTGGATCTGAAAATCACAGTGGCAGAGGTTAGATGAAAGTGACTTTTCCTTTTAAGAAAGGCGTGTTAGAGTTTATTTCTGGCTGAAAGATAAAACACAAATACAAGGGATGGTAACAAAAACCCACTTCCTCTTACGGTGGTGATTTGGCTCACCGCAGAATAAATATTTTACAGGTATTTCTCACTCCAGAGCTAGGTAAACTGAAAACATGTATTAGTTTTGGTTTGTTCGTTGTTGGTTTTGGGTTTTTTTGTTTTTTTCAAACCAGCCAAGTTGGAAGGAGATATCCCATTTGAAGTTGTTAGCTGTTAGCAGTGAATGACTTTTCATCTCCTATTTCTCTGGGCTTTGGTCACTGGAAAAATGATCAGTAACTTTCCATGTAACTGGCAGGTGATAGATCTGGCTCCTGTTTTGTCCTCACTTATTCCCAGTAAAATATGTTGGCTCACAAAATGCCTGTCCTTCCAAGCATTGTCCAGATCACAGCCAAGGAAGCCAGAAAGAAATTGAAGCTTGCTGGAGGTCGGTAGCCATATTCCTGAGAAGCTCTTAACTGGCTGGGGGGGGTTTTTCCCCCCTGTTCTTATGGTAGTTTTTACGCCTCCGTCTATCTCCTTAGCACTCCTACCTGGCCCACATGCTTCTGCTTGCACTGAATCACTACCTTTTACACAGGTTTCTCTTTTTTTAGGCTTGAGTGAAAGACTGGATTTCAGATTTCATGCCAGGTCGACTGATATACCTACTAGTCTATTAGAAGAATTAAGGACTGACCATTTGGTGAGAAATGCTTGCCATAGCAATCATGAAAACTTAATGTGAGAGGCTAGCTACATATGAAAAGAGGAAAAATCTTTTGATAAGGTATGCAATGGAGAAAAAGAAAAAGGATACATATGCTTTCACATGTTTTCTATATTATTTATTCTACTGAGGCAGTTATTTATATATGAGAAATCAGTAACAAGCAATTTAAAATCTTGGCACTAAGATGCAGATTTTCATTCTGTACAGCTCTTCTGTTATGTAGTATGTAGTAGTAGCAACAGTTTTTGATCCAGACAGGTTCTTCTTCAGCAGTTACAGACAGACTTGTGAAACTGGCATCAGACAGCTCATACAGCCTATTTCATAGCATAGCTTCCTCCAAAAGTATCCTGATAAGAACGTGTATTTGTGACAGGAGGCAATCTTAAGGGAGCTTTTGGCAACAGGGTAAAGCAAACAAACCTGAAAGTGTTTCATTATCTATCGTACTTGTTTTACCAAGGATTAGTGAAATCATGGTGTTACATGTAACAGCTTCCAAGTAGCAATCTTTTCTCTGCCATCTGTGGTGCCCTCTACTGCACATCTTTGTAGAAGCAAGACAAGCACTGAAATAACTGCATCGCTTAAACTGCCTTTTTCACGCTTTTCTTTCCATCTTAACATTGAATTCATTATTTGGTTTTGTAATAATTTTCCTTCTAATATACATAAAAATGCAGTCAGTATTTGCTATTGAAGTTTGGGGGTTTGGAGGTTCTTTGGGATTTTTTTGTTTGTTTGTTTTTTACTCGAGCAGAGTTTAAAAAGAGGAAAGAAAGAGAAAGAGAGAGAGAGAAAGAAAGAAAGAAAGAAAGCCAGCTTCAGAAAATGAACCTGTTCATTTATTGATTGTAGCTCATTTACTGGTCATATTCTGGATACTAGTTTATGTGGTTTTATATATGTCTATAGATTTACATATATATATGTACAATGTTAAGGTTGAAGCATGGAAATTTTTGTCATTGTTGCTTGTTTTTCAATCTCTGCTTTGAACTCTGGTATAAGCATTGAGTATTTTGGTCACACTTTTTTTACAGTTGCTGTTTGCTGCTCTGAAGAAGAGACAAGCCATTAAATTAGCTTCTCACAAGTTGATGTGTATAGTTTTGTTTGCACTCTGTTGCTAGGGGCATGATATAATTTTGTCAGTTCTATATCAAACAAAAATCTGTTGATTTTGATGTTGAATTGTTGGAAAGAGCTACAGAGATTTTACATAAATATTTCCGGAGTGATCTCAAGGTACCCAAAGGCCAAAAACTTAAGATGAAAGATCTGAAAATTTCAGTTTATTAATTCCCCCCTTTTTTTTTGCTTGCCTCTGTTAATTGAAGCATCTTGTGTTCATCTCATCATAGCCCGAGGTTTTCCTTGAACAAATCAATGCATGAATTTTTTAATTACCTACCCAACCTGGATTTCGACTATTTATTCTTACGAGTACCAAAGAAGAAAGGTTCAGGGGTAGTAGTAGCTAATGGAACAGCAATAGAAACCAGCTGCCTCCAACATATTAAACACTACGTCATCTAACTTGCTAACAACTAGTCTAAGCATCACAACATTTGAAATACTGTTGGCAGTGAGCTAGATACAGCACAGTGTCCAATATTCCTGACTGCTGTGCGTAAAAGACAATCTTATCAACAGTGGGTTTTAAAAACTTTTGCCTAGAAAGGACAAGCCTTAAGACATTTATCTGCTAAGTAACTGCTAGCACTCTCAGAATGACTACTATCAGGCAGTCAATTATGATGAGGTAGTTAGGAGTTAAAAATACACTTTGGCATATCATAACTGCAAAGGTAAGAGCAGTTTAAATTCCTAGGATTTGTTTTCTTTGGCCAGTGAAGGAGCCCTGATCTCTGCACTCACTCTAAAAACCCCAAAGACTCCAAGCACACGGTTGCACGCCGGGAGCACCCAAGGCTGCAGCGGGGCTGTTTCGGCAATGAAGAGGAACTGGCCACGTACTGGTGTGCTCTTCTGGCCTCCACCAGGTCTCCCAGAAGCAAGTTTTTAACAGCATATTGAGAAAGATTCAAAAATATATCTCAACTCCATTGTAAAACTTCAGAATGCTGAAGGCAAATGATGAAAATAACAGTAAATCTTTAATCTCAAAGGAAGTTGAATTCTGTTTGGGGAAAGAAGCTGATTTTTCAACACTTGGAGATGCACTGGAGCTTTCAGCTTTTTCAGCTTTCTTCCAGCTGCTGAGAACACTCAGGAAAAGACATATGATACTAAGGAAAGAAAAAATTCCTGGTCATTCAGAAAGGATGAGAAAAGTATTGATGAACCTTTTGGCCACTTTGGCTGGATTTTTTCTAGTGACCTTGAGATCTGGGTGCTATGAAGTTTGTGCTTCAATATCTGTTCACAAAGAGCAGCTCCAGAGGCGGTTCTGAGGTGGGGTTCCCAGCGGAGGACAGTCAGTCAGTCAGGGTGAGAGAAGGTCTCTGTCAGGGTGGGCGGGGCCATCTCCTGTCTGTTAGCAAGAGCAGGAAAAGCCATTGGTCAGTCAGGAGGAGCGGGAAAAGCCATTGGTCAGTCAGGAGGAGCGGGAAAAGCCATTGGTCAGTCAGGAGGAGCGGGAAAACCCCTTGGTCAGTCAGGAAGGGCAGGGCCAGCTCCTGTCCGTTGAAAAGGGAGGGAAAGGCCCTTGGTCAGTCAGGAAGGGTGGGAAAGTCTTGACTTTGGTTTCTACAGAAATTTTCTGGTTTTTTTCTCTCTGTCTCTATGGTTTGACCTCAGATCATGGGGTTTAAGTCCAGCATGCAGAATAACCTTTTCTAGTTTCTTTTGCCTCTTTTTAACATGGCTTCATTCCTTCCAGAGAAGGACCAGCCTTTATGGAGGACCACAGTGTGTGTTCCACTGAAGTGTCAGCTGGGAACAAGGCCAGCTTCAGGGAAACAAGTCTATCTGGTCAGGAGAGCCACGTCCCTAGGTAAAAGATGTGGGAAATAGCACCCATACTCCCCTTCTGTGGTAATACTTGGGTAGGTAGTGCACCATTGCACCTTGTGGGCTTGTGCAAAAGCTAAAAATGTACTCCCCTGCAAAAACACAGGGGAGAAGGGGCTCTCACAATGCAAACACCATCTCCATTCCCTCAGACCTCTTCAAAAAGTCTGTAGGTACAGAGAGAAATACAGAAAACCGTGACAAAACAAATATTCTGAATTTCACTAACAAAAAACTCTCATCATTTTTTAAAAACTTTCCATACACAGTATACCAGCCTCAGAGACTACAACAGAGTAGGAGCATCGTAAAAGTATTTTAAAAGGAAAAGGATGATAATGATAATAATGATTTGGAGAGTTCTTGGTCTTTGTGGCAGGGTATGGGAACCGCATGGCTTTAGCCATGTACAGTTCTGGGTTTTGGAGTGCGGTCATTTATTACATTGCAGCTTTTTATTTGTAACTGTTTCACTTGTCTATTTATATTTTTTGCTTGCTAAAGGTGCTATAATATTAAGCTTTTATGCTATTAATGTTGAAGATCATTTCTTGTGCTGTACAGAAAGAAGTATCTACTCATGCTGCAACCTGTGAGAAATGATCAGGCAAACCTGTGAGATATACAGTGCCTACCCCTTCTCTGCTCAGATTTCATTGATAACTAAAACAGAGTGAATTTTAAGTAGGCATACTTGGCCAGTATTTTTTGTTTGCTTATTAAAATTCAGTTAATCTCTGAGAAAAGAGACAGAATATCAACAGGGAGTACACAGAGAATTGCTGTTGTCTTCCTCCTATTTCACGACATTTACAAATCGGGAAATTGGGATTGGACCAGAAAGCTGGACTATCAAATTCTGCAGCAAACTTCGAAGTACATCTGGAATATTAAGACAGTTATAGTGGACAGAACCTAATGACTAAGTAAAATATTTATGAGTACCAAAGCAATGACATGGTTTAGATTTCCTGTCTACCTATCTGTTCTTTCATCCATCTGCCCATACATATTTTTATTGTCTTCAACACTCTATTTTTTGTTACGTTGGAGATCTGCACCTTAGACAGCTTTACTTACCTATTTTACTCTTACCATTTGCTGCATTACACATGTAGCTCACGAGCCAACCATTTCCGCTGTACTTAATTGAATTTCTATTTTGGATATGGTAGTGAGATGTAGGATTTTAATCAGGAGGAAGAGACTATGAGTCTGAAAGCGAATCTTGGACTTGATTATGAAACTATTGTACAGTAGAAAATGAATTTACATATTGGCTACATGACCAAGCCTCCTTGTATTATCAGCACTGCAAATGCTTCTGTGTTTTACCTTTGGAAAGCCATTAGTCTCTCTGTGTCCAAGTTTATTGATCTGAAAACCAGAAAAAAATCTTACATTGTGTTTGTTGAACCGTTTAATATTATTGGACAAAAATGTTAGTAATACTAGTAGGGTTTTTTTATACAGATACTATTATGAATAACTTTTTGAAATAAAAGGTTAATACTTTCCAGAAATTGCTTTCAAAAAATGATAATCTAGTTTCAGTAGAATGAGGAGTAAGTGGAAGCTGAGTTACAAAATGCAAGAAGCACATTCAGGTGATAGAAGAGAGCTTTAATGACACTTCATTATTGTTTAAGAAGACTCATAGCTAGGTTTTAAAAATCATTCTTGCTGATTTTGTAACAGTGGGATAATTCATTTTGTATGGTGTGTACTGGTATTGAGCTTTTCTCAGTATATTACTTAATGACAAAATTGGACTTTGCCGATAAAACTTTGAGTTAAAATAAGTTTTATCTATTCTTTTAGTTCCTACGTACTCTTGTGGTGGTATTATAGTACACTTGTAATTTTAAGGACAGCTGAAACGTTGGAGTCAGTTTGCTTACGAAAATAAAAGGCATCTGTCATAACACTCAAACCAGCCTACAGTTTTGCTGTAAGGGATATGCTGCAAGGTTACTTTGTCTTTTTAGGTGAAAGATACAGATTTTATTCTTTTCACAGTGCATCTGGTGAGACTAAGCCTTCATATAATTAAAACCCTTAACAGTTTGTTCAGGGCACCAGATCAAAAGGTTAACATGCAATGGTACAACAGGAAGTATTTGTACTCTTGAACATTTTTTAAATTTACAGCATTTAAAAACAGTTTAGTCCAAATCATAGCCAAAGCCAATATTACATCATTTATAGTAAAACATTAATCACAAACCCACCAGTTGGTCTAAAAGTTCAGCTAGTGAAAAATTTGATGGTTTCAGGATTGAATAGAAATTTATTTTTGAGTATGTCCTCAGTCATGCATCTGGAATGGAAAGTCAAAGATTTTAGGGAAACTGAGGAAAACAAAATTAAAAAGCAAAAGAGTTCCTCCACATTTTTGAAACATATATATACCTGAAGCAGTTTTAGATTACATGATTTCTTTAGGAGTGGGGATAGATGATTGCAACTCAAAGTAGAATTAGATTTTATCATATGAACTGTATCATTAACTTTCTTTGTTTCAGTTCTGAAGTTCTTGAAGCAATAGAAAATGTTATTCAAGATGTACTTAAAAGCCTGGCCCAAAAAAAAGCACCTGTTCTCACACTGGCTAACAGGTCAGATTGGAGGAACATAGAGTAAGTATATTTTAAAGTCTTTCCTTATATTAGTATAAATGCCACAAATATAAATTGGATTATGTAACTTCCACAAAAGTTAATCTTACATAGTTCTATAAGTATTAGAATCAATAAATAATTTGACTTCTTAAGAAGTAATGGACAAATAAAAAGTAATGCTTAGTAACCACTCTGCATGAACAGGCATCATATATTAAGTAACAGCAGACCATAGCATAAAGGGGAATGTGAAACTACTATACTAGGGGTTAGAAAGGAAAGGGAGGTCCTATAATCAATCATTTTCTGGAAGCAGTAGAAACCAGAAATGATAAGTTGTGTTAGAGTGAAAAAATCTGTTTTAGGCTGGAAACAATTACTAACGATTTCATCCTCCAATGCCTTTTCTGTGCTTCCTCTTTTCTTTTTCTCTGCTTTTCCCCATCGTGTCTTGTTTCTTAAAGTGACAGTGATAAACTTATCTTTGTGTTCTTCAGAGAAGATGTATCTCACCTTTTCCTGTTATATTTCTTGCCTCTGTGTTGTGTTCTAAGTTCATTACCAGGCAAATAAAGCAAACCAAGTTTCTAATATGTCATCTAAATTTCACATCTCATGCCAGCTTATCTAGACAGGATCAGAGAAAAAGCAACCTGTCCTTCTTTATAACACTTTGTGATTTGTAGAATTTGCTTGGGCAACAGTATTTTTCCAAGGAGCTCATTTAAACTGAAAATACTCGAAACTGAGAGATTAATTGCTTTGTATAACACAGAAGCAAAAGGATGAAGGAAGACACAAATCTATTTCTTGCCTTGTAACAGCTTTGGACGTCAGCGAGTTAAAGCTATTTAGATCGATAAGATTGCAGAGGTGCTTGTAAGTGGACACACTACAAACATTTGGGGTTGAGAAAGCATAGGGAACTTTCCACGCCTAACACTTTGGTGGAATACTCATTTAATAAGAACAATAAATTCCTGTCAATCAAAAAACCTGAGGGGCCTGAAGGTAATCAGTTAACTGGAAGACTTGTATGTTCCAGGGAATTTAATGGTTTGTGTCTTGATAGTTTGACAAAAATGTTTCACTCATGTGTCTGTAACATTAAAATACTATAACAAAGTTTTGCAGTTTTGGCAATCTTCAGGGAAATGGCATTCCAGGCTAGAAAAACAAATGCGAGATGTTATTTGCCATCAGAACACGTAGGGGGGGAAACGTTCAAATTAAAACAAGTTAACATCACAGTATGTTAAAAATAAGACTCATCAATCACATTTTAAAAAGCTGAACTATTATTTATAGTGGAGAAATGTAATCTCAGATACTCATTTCTGTTGAATCCCACTTCAATAGTCTTCTTTAAGAAGACCAAAATAAAAATAAATAATCAAATAAAAATAAAAACAGAATGCCAAAATATATTATGAATGGAAGAAAATATAGTCAGTGGGCCATCTTTTTTTTTTTTTTTTAGGCAGCCTTTTCATACCTAATCTACACAGCTGGAATCTGCTGGGCAGGAACTAGTAGAACGAGAGAATGATTTCATGTTTGAAACGTTCCTTGTAAACATTTGTAGATGCCCAGAGAGGTATTTACTGGAGAATGATGTCAATCAGTGAGAATGCCAGGCCTAAAGCAATACAATCAGTTTCCATTGTCCAGCTGTATCTTTTAAAAAAAAATAATAAAAAAATAAAAAAATTAAATAGATTTTATAGAAAACTACTCTGCTGGGGTAACCACAATCCTAGGAAGAACTGCTGGGTGTCTGATCTAATGCCAGTTTGCCATTGCCTTTAATTACTGTTTTCCTCCGTAGGGAGTGTGTAAGTGAAAAGCACAAATACCTTTTAAATGTTGTAGCAGGAAGTCAAGAAAGTTACTTTAAAGCTGGCAGGCAGACACTACAGCGTGCTGTCACTTCACATACATGCACCGTGGTGTGCTCTGCCACCCAAAGGATGCATGGAGCAAAACCTTTGACAAAGACATTTAGAAACATTATGTGGTTTTAGAGAAAATTATGGCCATTTTGCCATCAATACTTTTTAAAAGTACACACAAAACTCTGAAATGAAAGAACGAATGCTTTAAAGACAGGACTGTCATATTATAAGGCACTGTAATAATTTGAAGTAAAATAAGGAAGTGTCATTAAGAAAGCAACAAATTCTTTCCATGAAATGTGCACCTTCAGACATGAAATGGTGAAGCACAAAATGGTGGAGCTCATTTAGATTAAACAATTGTTTAGAGAATAGGATGGACCACATTTTTGTTTCCAAAAGTTAATAATGGAATATAATTGAGTTATTCTGATAATCATTTAAGGGCATAAATTACATAATGTTATTGTAATATGAAATAATAACACTTTTTCATAAATTCTACATCAGAAAGTCACTGTGTCAGGCTTGGATTGTAGTCTAATAATGATTCTCATTTTTTCCTTTGTTTTCATGCTAATTAATAATCGATACTATATATTAACTGTTATAAACATGTATAAAATACTTTTCTTGTCTCTACCTTTGTCCGGAAACTTATTTATTTTAGGCTTAAATTCAGTCTTGAAGCATCTCTTTGAGAAACTCTTTTTATTTTGAAGCCAATGATCAGCTGGGGGGGGGGGGGGGGGGGTTAAAAA